CTCCCACTGCACTCCTATACACACACTGGCCCACATGCACTGCCTCCCGTACACACACACACACACACTGCACCCATCACACACTGTCTCCCATACCCACCCTGCATCCTTCACACACTCAGTGCCTCCTATACACACACACACACACTGCCTACTCTCTCACACACACACACACACTACTAGAGGCTCTATCCCCTACTACAGCCCCTATCCTGGCAGACCCCAAGTAAATTATCAAACTGTTTTTAAAGCGTTTGACTATTTACTCTGAGAGGGCGCCACGGCACTCCTGGCATCATAACCACTACAGAGAGCTGTAGTGGTTACTGTGCCTGGATTGTTTCTTTAAATAATCTATGAGTGCCCCTCCCGAGATAAGACTCTGGATCCGCCAGTGCTGCTTGGTGCTATCATGGAGACTCAGTCTCAGGCACCATGCAATAAACCACTAGATAAATTATTTGTTCTGTTGGTTGAAAGAGAGAATGTCATTAGGGTGTTGCACAACAACGTAACGGCTGGACATCCCGGCATTGAAAACCCATTTCCATCGGAAGCCGAGCCGGATGGTCGCAGGCTGAGAGAGCTCAGACGGCCAGGCTCGAGAAAAGCTTAGATAACAGCGTAAAAACGGCACCCACGAGTACCGAAGACACCTACCAGTATGTCCCAACACCGCACGAAAAAACCATCGGAGGCCAAAGACAAAGCGTCCTTTTTCACGGCCCGTACACCGCAAAATAAAAACGCGGATGCACTAGCCCAAGATGGCGCCGAGTCAGACGCCGACGGCGAATCCATGGCGGGAATGGCGGTGGATAAGTCGACTCTGCAACACATGCTGGACTCCCTAGCACACAAAATGCAAGTAACAGTACAGTCAGCAGTGGCAGATTTACGCAAGGATATAGCAGACATTGGCAACCGCACCTCACACCTAGAAAATAAAATGGAGGAATTCACTGCGGCCCAAGACACAATGGCTGACAGGGTGGAGGAGCTGGAAAGCAAAATGGAACGCTGTGAGTACAAACTCATGGACATAGAGGACAGCTCACGCCGCAACAACCTGCGGCTGCGAGGCATACCAGAAGTAATCACCCAAATAGAACTCACAGCTTACGTCACTGAATACTTCCACTCCATGCTGCCAGACATCCCGGCCAGAATCCACAGAACAGTGAGACCCGCACACTTACCCACCTCCACCCCACGAGATGTCTTGCTGCGAGTCCATTATTTGTGGAAAGAACAGATCCTCAAAGCCAACCGAACCGGAAGGAGCGGGAACAAGCAATTTAAAGATGTCCTGATATTTGCGGACCTCTCAGCGGAAACCCTGCAGAGACGGAGATCGTACCGCAACATCACGGAGACCCTCCGCCATCACACCATCCAATACCGCTGGGGCTACCCAGTGAAACTCCTGATCCACAAAGGAGGCAAGATACACGTGATAACCTCTAACCAAGAGGGCGTAGAGCTTCTGCAAACCTGGGGACTATCTGAGACCACGTCCGACATAGGACCATCACGAATCAACAAGATCCAAGGGGAATGGAAATCACCCAAGTCGAGGCGGAACGCCCAGCGACTGATGCGATGAACTTTATGGGACACTCACCACAGGTTTGGTCTGCAGGGGCATGTCCGACTGTAAAGACCGAGAGTGGGGTTCGACCCCACGACGGCTAAGGGATGGGGGATGGGGGACTACGCCCATGGGCCCAGATAACGGGGAATACAGGTGGGACAGTTACTTGACATGCACGGTACTAAGCAAAGACGAACGCGAACGGGACACAGGTCACGAGGACCTACGGCAGATCTAGACGGACCCCTCAACCATAAAGACATCACGACGCAAGACAGACTAAATAAGATATACCAAAAAAAACAAAATAAATAAAATAAAAAAAACAGTCACACACAACGTGGGAGACCGGAACAACAGACCCCCCCATAGTCAGATGAATCACAAGCAACACCCCACAGGGTAGACCCCATGACTGCACCGAGACGGACTAAACCCTCTCCATAAGCACCAACTCTCTCCCTGCAGACCCCAACCGACCTATAGTGCAAGCAGTTACCGAGCTCTGGCCACCGTTGAGGGACAGGCTCAGACCTAGACCGGCCAGACACGGCCACCTACCCCCTAACCAAGGAGGTTTGCCATATGACCTCCAAGTTGATAACTCAGAACGCCTCAACAGTGGTGTTCACATGTTGTTTTAAGTTTGTATTGATTATGTTATGGTTTATGATTGTATGTTTTTTACCCGAATGTGTCAGAACTGCGCTCCAACATCACATGGCAAGCCCTTCTCTTAGCTGCGCAACCCGTGCACCCCAAGATATACACAGAGCTCCAGAACAGCATACCCCACTCTTAACACTGTAGTATGAAGATATACACACACAACGTTAGGGGCCTGAACACCCCACACAAGAGGCACACCCTACTCAAAGAACTAAAAAACACCCAAGCAGACATAATTTGCCTGCAAGAAACACACTTCCAATCCACCACTAGCCCAGTCCTGGGAAAGGCAACATACCAGCACCAGTATCATGCCACCGCGCCCACAAAACGTAAAGGCGTCTCCATCCTAATCAGCCGACACCTTGCCTTTGACGAAATAACGGTCACAAAAGACCCACACGAGAGATACATTATACTGATCTGCACCATTAATAGCTCCACATATACAATAGTCAATACGTACATGCCAAATGCAAACCAAGGTGGATACCTCCACAACCTCTTGAGATTCATAACCACAACACAAACGGGCACAACGATCATTTGCGGAGATTTTAATCAGTTCCAAGACCCCGCGCTAGACTCAACAGCGAAGCACACACCCCATAGGAACAAGGTACTCCACAGGCAATGTAAGTCTCTAACCAAGCTCCTACAGACACACGGTTTATACGACGCATGGCGCACACTACACCCAACCGAGAGGGAATACACACACTTCTCCCAGGTACACAACACCTACTCAAGAATAGATGGCTTCCTCTTACAGAGCGCATATCTGAATCGTGCGGTGGCGTGTGAGATAGGTACCTCTGCCTGGTCTGACCACAACCCATGGGAACTTACACTAGCAGACCACTATAACTACAAGAACAGAGGCCCTTGGAGGCTCAATGAACAACTTCTCACTGATCACCAATTCATCCAAACACTACGACAAGACATGCAGACATACTTTCAAACCAATGACACCCCAGACATTACCCCGCTCACCCTTTGGATGGCCCATAAACCGGTCATCAGGGGCATACTTATAAGACGGGCAGCCCACCTCAAAAAACTGCAACAACACTCACATATACAGAATCTCAAAAGATTACAAGACCTACATAGAACAAACCAAATAACCCCCTCCAAGGCCACGCAGGATGAGATCACTGACCTGCAAAAACAAATCCACACTTCCAATTTCCAAAAAGCAAGCTATGCACTGAAAAGGCTCAAAGCGTCCACCTTTGTCATGGGCAACAGAGCCAGCAAAACTCTGGCCCAAAGACTCAGGGATAAGCAAGCCCAAACCAGAATCCCATACTTACTCTCTCCCAAGGGACAGAAACTGCCCCAACCCACTCAAATCTGCAATGAATTTGCAACCTACTACAGCTCCCTATATAACTTAAAAGACAACCCACAAGTGCCCCAGCCAACCCGCAGCACCATCTCGGAGTACCTCGGCAGAATTGACATGCCCAGACTCCAAGCACACCAAGCAGCCGACCTTGCGGCTCCCATTACCACCCTAGAAGTAACACAGATCATCGATACCATGCCAAAAGGCAAAGCCCCAGGCCCTGAGGGCCTCACCAATCTGTATTACACCACCTTTAAGGACGTACTAACCCCCTACATCACACGTGCCCTCAACCTAGCCATGCAACAGGGAACCCTACCGCCCGAATTCTTAGCGGCACATATTATAACCCTACCCAAACCGGGAAAACCACCGACGGTCTGCCCAAATTTTAGACCTATCTCCCTACTAAATGCCGACGCCAAGCTATACGCTAAAATATACGCGGCTAGGCTCAAAACACTCCTGCCCAGCTTGATCTCGACAGACCAAGTGGGATTCGTGGCAGGCAGACAAGGCCCAGACAACTCCCAGAAAGTATTAGATATACTTCACTACCTTAACCGCTCCACACTACAGAGCACGCTCCTCTCCCTAGACGCTGAGAAGGCATTTGACCGACTCAATTGGCATTTCCTACATGAGGTGTTGTCGAGATACGGGTTCCCACCGGACTTCCAAAACATGATAAGAGCCCTATACAGCACCCCATCGGCCACGGTTCTAAATTCAGGGTTCAGTTCTGCCCCCTTCACAATAACCAACGGCACCAGGCAAGGATGCCCCTTATCCCCCTTGCTATACGTGCTAGCGCTGGAACCACTAGCGATAGCCATCAGAAATAACCAAAACATTAAAGGGGTAACCATAGGCGACAGGAAGTACACACTTAACCTTTTTGCGGACGAAATACTCCTCACAATAACCAATCCGACAATTTCACTCCCCAACCTCCACAAAGAAATAATAGAATACAGTACACACTCATATTACCAGCTGAACCTAACCAAAACGCAGGCCATGTGCATAAACATGCCCAAATCGGAGGAGGAACGTTTCAAACACAACTTCAACTATGACTGGAGGAACGACTACTTAACATTCTTAGGCGTTAGGCTAACGAAACATCACTCGAGCTTATTCGCCACCAACTATATCAAGCTCCTCAAAGAAGTGGAGCAAACGCTACACTCATGGCAAAACAAATTCCTCTCATGGCTAGGCCGTATAGCGGCCATCAAAATGACGATTCTACCAAAAATCCTCTATATGTTCCGCTCCCTACAAATCCCCATACAACAGACGTACATCCAAAGACTACAATCCCTCCTGATCAGATTTAGCTGGGGAGGAAAACACCCTAGAGTCCCTCGAGCTTTACTAATGAGACACCCGGATAGGGGAGGTCTGGGATTCCCTGACCTCAAGGCATACTACCATGCAACACACATCGCCAACATGCTCCAAATGCACTCCACCACATACACCCCCCAGTGGATCTCCATTGAAGCCAGCTGTGGAGGACAAACAGACCTTGCAGCAGCTATGTGGATGCCTAAGAAACTGCGCAATGTTCCCCGAGACACCCTACCCACCACAAAACTACTATACAACATATGGGACAACCACAGGACCGCATTCTGCTCAGCCAGACCGTGGTCGATGGCAAAACCACTAAAAACGATTGCACTCCATAACAACACATTCCCTTATAGAACATGGCAAGCCCACAACATCACACACCTACACCAAATCTGCACCGAAAAAGGCCCACTCCCGCTCTTAACACTGCAAACCAAATACAATATCCCAGCCAAACTAACATTCTCACATTGGCAACTGAAAACACTCTTAGACAGCACTACAGGCAACGAACCACCACCCCGATTTGATCCCAACCTCACATCATTCGAAAAAATGTGCCTTCACCTCACCCCCACCCAAAAAACATTATCAGTGTGTTATAGACACATAAACGCACACAAGCCAGATCCAGAGTGGCAATTTAAAAAGGACTGGCACAGAGATATCAATAGAACCCTCATGCCAGACGACTGGAACCACATATACGCTAACCATAAGGGACTCACGTCGTGCGCCTCGCACCTAGAAGCCTCACATAAGCTACTATATAGGTGGTACATGGTACCTACAAGACTTAAGAAAATCTACCCTAACATGAGTGACAAATGCTGGAGATGTCAGACCCAAACAGGGACCATGTTACACATTTGGTGGTCATGTACCCAGGTCCAACCGTACTGGACACAAATAGCAGAGATAATAAGAGGGGCCACAGGATGCATCCTCGAACACAACGCTGAAACATTCTTGCTCAAACTTCTGCCCACCAATATACCCCACAGTATAACTAAACTGATGTTCCTCACACTCACCTCAGCGTCCACCTTACTGGCAAAACACTGGAAAACCCCCCAGATCCCCTCCATGGCGGAGGTGACAGCAATGGTCACTACCACCCTGGACTATGAGGTGATCCTATGGAACCAAACAAAAATAGGCAAAGGGAGTGCTACAGCGAAAAAGATCTGGACCACTTACATAGAGAAGAAAACCCTCCAAGCTGCAGCTAGGGGCACTGCCAACACCGATACAACTACGTAACAATAGAACCTCGATGGTTCATAGCAGCCACACTAGACACATTAGTTATCCCAGTTATTCCCCCCCTGTTTTAACCTGCCTCTCCCCTCCTCCTCACATACCTGGACCCGCTCAGGGGTACACACCTGAGGAACAGCCCCAGATAGCCTGAGAAGGCGAACGATAATAAGGAAACACACACCATAGACAATATGACAGGCCAACCAGCGGCAATCGAAACAGCCCGCAATGGAAAGGTGGCCCAACAACTCATGGCCCTCCTACAACGGAGGTCTTTTCCCCCCCAAACGGGCATACTACATGTGTCTCTTTTGAGGGGATAAGCACATCCTGCACGCCAACATAGGAAGACCCACATATAGGGGCAACAATCAACACTCGTCCTTTCACAGAAGACGTGCAGGGCCATGTACATAACCTGTTCTACCTACTGTAAAACCCATATGTAAACGAATGGAAGCACAATCAGTACTACAGATTGTAAGCAAACAGAAATGTCGGGTATTGTACAAACGCTGTTAAATGGTATGATCAACTGTAATGTCAAACCTAACGGAATTTAAACGCACCCCCCTGAACCCCCCTTTCCTTTCTGTACCCCTCTGAAACCTTTGTCTTCCGACAAAAATAAAAATTGTCAAATTGAAAAACCCATATCCGCGATCCTGGGATCATTTTGGTGGGATTCTCTCAGGAAAGATGTTAAGGAATATGTACAGGCCCGTTCAGTTTGTGCAGTTTCTAAGGTACCTCACAAACTTCCATGTGGATTGTTGCATCCACTTCCCGTACCTAGTGTTCAATGGTCCCATTTGTCCACGGATTTCATCGTAGAACTTCCTAGTTCTAATGACTATACCACCATCCTTATGGTGGTTGACTGCTTTTCCAAAATGGCTCATTTCGTTCCACTCAAAAAGTTGCCATCTTCACAAGACCTAGTTTTTATTTTTATATGAGAAATTGGCCCACTGCATGGCATTCCTCACAATATTGTATCTGACAGGGGTTCTCAGTTTGTGTCTCGGTTTTGGAGGGCTTTCACTAAACAATTAGGCATTGAATTGTCTTTCTTCGTTTTACCATCCCCAAACCAATGGCACGGCTGAGAGGGTTAACCAGTCATTGGAATTGTATTTGCGTCGTTTTGTTAATGGCACAAAGGATAATTGGTCCAAATTATTACCCTTGGCTAAGTTTGCTAGGAACAATGCTACCCATGACTCTTCCGGACACAGCCCATTCTTTGTTAATAACGGTCATCATCCTACTGTTCTGCCGGCTTTTTTCTCTGACACTGCTATCCCTGCTTTGGATGATCACCTTGCTTCTATTCGTGATACTTGGAGCAAAGTTCACTCCGCTCTAGAAACTGCGGCTGATCATTTCAAATTTTATGCTGATTAGCGGCGGGGTGCCAATCCTGTTTACCAAGTGGGTGAGAAAGTGTGGTTATCATCGTGCAACGCAAACTGAAAGTTCCTAGCATGAAGTTTGCTCCCAGATTCCTTGGTCCACTTCGTATCCTTCGAAGAATTAATCCTGTTTCATATTCTCTGGCTCTCCCTGCCTCCTTGCGTATTCCGAATACCTTTCATGTTTCTTTGCTCAAACCACTCATTTGCAATAGATATACTTTCCCAAGTGTTCTCCCTCCCCTGTTGATTGTTTCTGGACAGGAAGAGTATGAAGTCTCTTCCATTATCGATTCCAGGTTTTCTCGCGGTTCCTTGCAGTATTTGGTTGATTGTAAGGGGCATGGGGAGGTTCCGGCTTCCGATATTCATGCTGGTTGCAAGATTCGTTATTTCCACACCAAGTTTTCCCTCAAACCTGGTCCTGCCTGCCCGGTGGGCGGTCGTCAGGTGGGGGGTAATGTCACATGTTTGTCCTCACCTTGTGGTGTCCATGAGGATAACTACCTTCCTGGCATTGGTGGAGATGCTGGTCGCGGCCCTGTACCAGTGTATGCTGCGGCATGCTGAAAGATGCCGGCCGCTGCGGGTCCCTACCAATTTGTAGCCCCACGTCTGCCCACGGTATTGATGACGTCAATGTGCGTGTGACGTCACACAAAGGACGTGCACACACATTCTGGGGTCATAGGCCGGGTACAGCCAATCGGATTTAAAGGAGACTTATTTAAACTCCTTTCTTGCCTTCCCTCATTGCCTTGTCGTGGTTTCCCTTGGTGGTTGTCCGAGAGTGTGTTCCTGAGCATTCATTTCTGGATATTGACTTTGGCTTCGTTTTGACTTCCCTGTATTCTGGTATCCTTGACCTAATCGTTGTGTCTCTTTCTTTGTCCTCGACCTCGGCAAGTATTCTGACTATTCTCTGGTACGTTAAGTCCAGCCATTCTAAGGCCCGGTAAGACGTTACCTTTAGTCCTAGGTGTGATACAGTTCTGCGTGCTGGATCAACTAGTAATCCTGACAGGGACATAGAGCACTATAGTACAAGGAAGGGTGTGGTCAGACAATAGCAAGGGCTGATGGGAGATTGAGGAGGGACAGGGCAGCTAGTTTAAATTGGTCTGGCAGTGTCCCTGGGACAACGCCCTGGTGGGGAAACAATAGGACAGGAAAAAGAGGGAGGGGGAGAGGCACAGACAAGCAATACATTCAACAAAACACAAAACCAATCTTGGTACATACATATAGTGTCTGTCTTCCATTCCCAGTGATGGTAACTACCGTCACAACCACTATACTCATACCGAACCTGTCTCCATAACACTGTCTCGGTGCCTGAGCATGTCTCAATAACACCACTACACTTGGTGCCTGAGCCTGTCTCCACAACACCACTACCCTCAATGCCTGAGCCTGTCTCGACAATGTTGTATAATCCTTCTCTCACCACCAATACTTCCAGTTTGGTATCCTTTTGAGAGAAATTCACTCTGCGTTGTGTTTTAATAGTGAATGTAATATCCCTGTGTCACCTCTTCCAAGAACTAACATTTATCTTTATCCCCTTGTCCAGATAAATATATGACTAGCACTACTAAGGTATTCTACCCGATAATACAAATAAACAGCAAACACCATAGTTCTTACCAGAGAGAAATCTTTACTTAGAATCTGCCCAATTAAATATTACAGAAGAAGAATGTTACAGAGTTATAGTATTACAGAGTTACAATACATTCATAACACTCACACATTCCAACTATCTAATAATATCTACTGTATGGTGTATGTGCTGTGAGATGTATGCAGCATATGTGTCTTACCAAACCTAATCTAATGTGATGTCAGTATCTTCTATTTTTAAAGGAATTGGTTCCAATGTTGTAAATAGCCAATTCCTCAGCTTAATTGATATGGAAATGTGATTTCCTTTCCCAAGGCCCAAAGTGTTGTCTATCCTGTTATTTTATTTATGTGTGAACTCTCCCAGCCATCCCCTTGCCTCTAACCTAAGGTGTGTTTTCCTAGATAGAGACTCCTTTGAAGACTAGTTGATATGTAAATATGATAAACTTAGCGGTGCCGTTCAGCTGCTGTATCTTTCCACCTATCTAAACAGAAACTCCCTTTGAAGATAATTCCTGACCTCCCATACACACAGACTTAATCAAGCATATAGTAAATATATATATATATATATATAATCATAATATTTCCCCCAACACTCACCCACTTGAATAAGATCTAATAAGGAGATTATTCACATACAACCCCGCCACCCACTCTGATTTCTTTATATTTAAAAAAAAAAATGAACCTACACATATATTTTATATCCCTAAAATGGATTTGAGCTCTAATTTTTCCTGCTTTGTATGGATTTTTTTAGTTCTTTCCTCCAACAGCAATATAAAATGAATAGAGAGCAGATTAAAACAAATTGTAGACAAACAAATGCTGATAACTTTCCAGAACTGGTCTTCTTTTATTACAAAGCGAGTTTGTGGTAGGAATTGCTTTAAAACATTAGTGGGATTAACCACTTCCAACTCACCAAACATAGTCATCTTATAAACAGGTACAGGCTGTTCTGTTCGAACTGGAATGTCAATTATTAATGGAATTACCTTTTTTCCTAATTTGCACTTATTGCACCAACTTTGCAGACCTTTAATTTTGGAAAGGACTACATTCTGACAATCTATGCCATATTCCCTAACCAGATCAAAGACTAGGGTAGAATTGATTATTCTTTTTTTTTTTTTTTTTGGATAATCAAGTTTATTCATTAATAGGTGTAACGCATTTCGGGCTCGCAGGCCCCAGTCATCATAAAAACAAGAAGTTACAATGGATAAGCAGTTGACATCTACATTGAGATTTCAATGAGGGAGAGGATCAATTACAATTCAAATGTTCGCTCGTGTCAAGTGCCCATAGTTAGGTGTGTTGTTGTGTCAATTAAGTTATTGAAATGTGTGAAGGTATTATACTCGTATAGTGGGGCTAGGCCCTTGAGAGATAGGACAATGTGAGTGTAGTGGAATCCGTATAATGTCTGAGGTGATATGTGTGCCTGTGTGTAGGTGAGTATATCGCATTTCGGGCTCGCAGGCCCCATTTGTCATACAAGCATGAAGATACAGTGAATAAGCAGTTGATATCTACATCGAGCTTTCAATGAGGGAGAGAATAAATCACAGTTCCCATGTTCGCTCATATCAGTGCCCATGCTGTTGACTCTATGAAGTCGTTGTATTATGTGAATGTAGTAGACTCGTACAGTCAGGCTAGGCCCATAGGAGACGGGACAACGTGAGTGAAATGGGGTCCGTATAGTGCCTGAGGTGCTATATGTGCCTGTAGTGTATTTATACGAGTGGCATCGGCAGGGATGGGGAGGTGGGGCAACATGTATATATGTGCGGCCACAGTATATTAGAATTGATTATTCTGAGCCATTCCCCTCGTTTTATTTCTTGGAGGCCTAAATTTAGATGTTCGTCTAGTAAATTTCCAACTATACCACATACCATAGCTTTAGATACATTATTGTTATTAACTGATTCTCTGAGAGCATTCACA